TTATATAGATTTTTTTAAAATAAACAAATTATATATTCTAAAAATTAATAATTTTTTATCATTAAAACTAGTTACTGCATAAGAGTACCAGGGTAATTAAATAATAAAAAAAATACTGCACCTTCGCTTGTAATTTTTTTTATTATAGTATTACCTCGGTACTCATATTATTAATTATATATGTTATAATAAAAAAAATTATTAGCTTTATAGCTATTATTCAATACAATTAATTGTCTATAGTATATGAGTGCTCCTTTTTTTTTGGTTATTAGATACTTTACTAATAAATGCATATCTTATTTGTAAAAACTTAATTTTAAGTACTAAATATAAGAAGTTTAGATTGAAGCTAGTTTATTATTTAATAAAAGATACAACAACCAATTTTTTAAAGCATATTATACAATGTAAAGATTAAACCTCTATTAAAGAAAAAGCTGAATTTTCAAAAAATATAAAGTTTTAGAAAATTTCAAATTACTACTTAATAGACTTACTGGTCTAGAGTTAATACTTCAATTCGAATATAAATCTATCTGGATTGAAATATTGGCAAAAAATTATAATAAAACATAATAAATTTAAATCTGAATTGGTTTAATATCCAGATGCATCCAGATATAAAACATAGTAAAGTATTAACTTTATACTGGTCAATATTTTTCTGAATATAGAACAAATAAAAGTGTGTGCTTATAGTATCACTATATAAGAAAAAAAATAATCTACTATATTTGCAAAATCTATTTTAATCTAATATATATTGTAGTGAATATAGCATAGCATTATGTTGTAACAATTAACGTTCATTGTGTTTTAAAGATTTTTATTTTCTCACTCAGGGTAATACTTGATATTCCTTATCAATATTATAATATTATAAAATTTTATTAAAATAACCTCTGTTGTGTAACCAATGAAAATGTTTCTTTTATAGTTTTACTCTAGCCTAACTTTAAAACTAACTCTAACTGTAACCTTAACCCTAACATATTAATATAGCTAGATTTCTTTTGTACTTAAGAGGGGTAAATAATTTATCTAGGTGTTAAATAAATTATTTCTTTTATTAATTATGTAAACTTAATTTTTATTTGTTTAACTAAATTTATTTAAATATAATAGCAAATACTGTATTTATTAAATTATTTAATAGGGTTAGGATCTTGTAGCCTAGTGGTCTAGATACCTAACCTTTCATGAGTGAGTTTTGGGTTCAAGTCCTAGTAGGTATGTTTATTTACAAATATTTAAACATACTTATATATAAGAAGTTCAAGTAGATACAGATTTAGAATAGAAATTTCCAGAAAGAGGTCTATTTGTAGAGAGATAGTGCTATGTATAACAGTCAATATTATAGAAAGTTCTATTATACTAAAGTTGTGTATATAAATTCTTGATTGGCATAGATAGTACCAACAACTTTAAAGCAGCGCTGGAATCTTGTTTGGGAGAATAACTGAGTGGTAACTAGAACTGGAGTAGTAAGAAAAATGATAGAACACAATGGAACCTGTGGTAAAGAATTGGCTTTACTAAATTTAAACATTTCTGGCACTATATAGAACTGCTTACCAAAAGGAGACCAAAGCATGAAGGTATGTACATGTCAAGACCCAATAGAGCTCTGGCATACCTATATAGGAGTCTTTGAATGTTAAAAATAGTTTTGGTTTATCAAAATTTAGATAACTGATATAAGTGCATATAGTGTATAACTGAGCTACAACTGCTAAGAATCACCATAAAAAGAAATGATAACACATTTATTATACAAAGGAGCCTTATGATGCCAGCCAACTATCAGGTCTAAAAGTGTAAAGTAACCTGTTATGAAACATGCCTGGGTTCTCATTATTATAAAGAGAAGTATAGCTATTTGCACAATTACTGAATTCGATATGTTAAAATCTAAACTCTGAAAATTACAAAAAAGTAGGCTGGTTGCAACAGCATATAGGCTTGAGATACTTATCTATTTGGGTAGAGATAGCTGCATGGCTTGAAACACAAACCTCTACAAGTATGCCAAATAGAAGCACAAACTAGACACACCAAACTAGAAGCATTAAGTGCTTATCTAAAGTATTAATACACCAATTTGGAAGTTGAGATACTAGATAATGTGAGTGAAGTGGTGAACATGTGAAAGTTAAATAAAGATGAGTAAAGACACACAAAATCTAGATCAATAGTGTAGTGGAAGTACAGTCAGCTCTGGTGGGTTTTAGCCATGAATAAATAGTTTGTATACTTGATATCCTAGTCTTAATACTTGATATAATATATATATATATAGGCACCATTATATGGGGATGTTTAAAGCAGAGTAGATTCTTATAATATATATTTTATCGAATTAACTTTAGAGTCATGGTCATCTTGGATTATAGTTAGAGCAGGCTTTATATAGTAATATATAAACAAAATTACCTTTCTGACATTTTTACTTAGCTTACCCAAGGTGGGTTTAGACTACTATTTTTTGTATTTTCAAGTTTTTTGCTTTTTTTTTTTGTTTTGCTTTGTCAGCAATCATCAAAATTCTATAATTTGATTGGTCGTATATCACGCGATTCTGCTCCGCTTTAGACGACCCCCATTATATGTCAATTATTTAAGTATTAATAAAGTTTAAGTACAAGTGCTACACCCTTATAATTAAAAAATAAATAAATAAAAATAAATTATTTAATAGTATTTAATTATAAACATTTTTAAAATTGCAACAATAATACGTATATCACAATATATAAACTTTTTAAAAATTTGTATAATATTTATAAACATATAGGCTATGTGCTGAGAAAAGGGCCCAAATTAATAAAACAAAAGATCTTTGAAAATCAATTTTTATATTGCAAATCCTAAAGAGCTATACTACAAAATTTTATTAAAACAACAATTTTGTAGTTTAAGTAAAAAATAATTCTAATTTTATTATAAATTGATTTATGCAAAAAAATTACTTTTGAAAAAATTGTCAATTTGGGCCCTTTTCTCAGCACACAACCAATATAGTAAATACAATTAAATGGGATCTTTGCTAGGAAAATGACCCTACGAGTCATTGTTACATGAAATTTTTATTAAGAAAAACATAAATCTATTTTTAGAAAAAAATCCTAGCAAAGATCCCAAATCTTAGCACCAATACAATGAATAATAAATCTATAGTATATCTATAATAATATTGAAATATAATTCTTTAATAACATATTGTAATAATTTGTTTTAAATAAACATAATATTTCCTAGCATAATAATTATAATTTAATACATAACTTTTTTTTAATTTATCAATGTAAAAGAATAATTCATTGTAAATAGCTAATAATATAAATCAGTAAATAAATACAATTTCTGGTAAATTATATATATTATTTACATAATGCTATCAAAATTTATAAAGTCCAAAGGCAGCATATACGTTAAGAAAAAAAAAAGTCAAGATGATTAACTTTTCACTCTTGTAAAGTTCTTTCAATGCTTTTTCATTTTTCTTTTGATGTAGTCTTTCAATTTTTTGCGCCCTACCGGTCTTTAATTTATTCTGAGCAACAAAATCTGTTAATTCAGCCTCAATACGATTAACTAAATCGCGTTCACGCTGTTTTTCAGCAGCCTGCAAAACTTTTAATTGCCGTTCATGATTAGAAGCAATTCCTCAAACTTCCTGAAGAACTGACTTTATTCCTTCAAAACCTTCTTCTGCTACCGGAGGTACATATACTTTTGTTTGATTAATTTTTTATGATCTTCCTGTAAGTCCTCTAAAAGTTCTTGATGATTTAAAAATTGTAACTCCTGCTTCCATGTTTGCTTTCATGTTAGCTTGGCAGTTTTTACATATTTTTGCAAAGATGCAAGCTCTTTAGCAACACCTGTCGCTCCTTGTTTAATGTGTTGAATTTCTGTTGATGGTGGTCTAGCACCTCTCTCTTTACGATATCAGATTTCATTCTATCTATAATATCTTGAAGTTCATCAACTCTACCAAGCAGTTCAGTTGAGCGAGCATCCAATTTTGTTTTACCACTATCAATGAATGAACGTGAGGATCCAACATTTGTTAAAGCAACTTGTTTAACAGACTCGGTTTAAATAGTCAAAGTTTCGAACAATTTTTTTGATTCACCCTGAAATTCAGTATAAATCTGTCATATTGATCCTAAATCTCTTTGCAGATTTCTATATACTTTTTTACTTGTTCTAAATATGATATTAAAAAGATTTAAACATCAGTGATATAAAAACAATTTACACAATAATTATATAAAAATTGAACAAGATTTGCAAATTACAGTATAGTTAGTAATTTTTATACCTTCAACTTTCAAAGCTAGAATAGATTTATCTTTAACTTTACTTAGATCTTTCAATTAATAAAGTATACCAACTTGTGGATCTTTTATATCAGATATAGATATTTGGAAAATCTTCCGTTCCTGGATTATATTGAAATTTCTTGACAAACAACATTTGTAATATAGTCATATTTATATCTCTATTATATTTTATTTTCTTGACATCTTTTCCAAGTTGTAAATATAAAATAATAAAATTCTTTTATTAGAATCGAAAAAAAAAAAAGTTAATAAATAAATAGCGATATAATAAATTTAAAAATAAATAAATAAGAGTATCAGTCGTTATTCTTTTCGTCATGTTTATCTAAACTAGGTTTGTCATTTTGAGATATAGGTTCTATAGGAGACACTATAGAAGATGTTGCAGCAGAACCATTAGGTTTTAATATTGATCCTTCCTGTACGTTTTCAACCTCTTCAGGTATATTAATTTCAGGTAGTTGTATGGAATTCATTTTTTTAGAAGAATGAAAGCTAGATTTTTTTCCAGTTCTCCAAGCAGAAAATCTTCTTAAAGCATGATGTTCAAGAGTGTCACATTTTAAAGCGACTACAGGATCCACATGACTATTACCATTACTACTATATGATTTATCAGAAGAAGCCAAATGATCATTTTTATTGCTAGGAGGAGGAGATGGGTTTTGATTCACAGAGAAGAATGATTGGGGCTCGTTAATGGGGAAAGTCGATTGTGGGCTATTATTTTCATAATTATTTTGATTGTCTTCAAAGCTTGTAACAAGGTATAATATCTCTGGTTTTAGGAAGGTGGTTCTCCAAAGAAGAAGGAGAAGCCTCTTCGCAAAGAGCATTCCTAAGACATACTTTCAATTCTTGTGGAATATTCATCATGTTACTATTACAAATTTTAAATTACAAATGGAAAGATTTGTTATTATAGTTGATTGTATTGATCATTGTTTTTTTTTTTACCAGATTTTTACCTCGTGTCCACACCAGCTTGTCTAAACAATTGAACATGATTTAATTCAATAGCTAGTTACACTATAATAAGAAGAATAATAATAATAAACCAATTAATAATGTGTTTATTAAATAAGTAATATATTTCAATAATCATAGGTTTCTTTATAAGGAAATGCATAACCAATTTCCTTTCTGGAATCGGTAGACTTATTAAGAAACTTCATCTCTGCTTTTGCATGCATGGAACAGCTTTCGTTAAATGGCTTCCCGAAGACAGTCAAATCATCCTCATAGGCGTGATATCACGAAGTCCTCTATGTGCAAGAATAACTTGAATAGCTATTCTAGTGACAATTATCCTACGTATAAGTGTTTGTGTTCATAGAATAACTCAGGTAAATAATCATAATAGCATAAAGTTACGTCATGTATGTAGAAAAACGCGTGGTTATTCTAGAGAAATTACCCTCGAGATATGAATATATAAAGCACAACTATAGAAGAACGTTCACGTTTGAAGACGTGGCCACGGTGTGCTTTCAATTTCATAGTTATATATTATATGATTTCTATACATAGAATGCCCTCACCAAGCAACTCAAACTGTTCTAGTGAAGATATTGACTATATAATTAGAAAAATATACTTGCATTTTCAGCGTCTCGTTTTCTGACTCTGAACTCCGATTCTTCGTGTTGAGCTAGATTGTGCAGAGCTATATGGGTCCATAATACTGTAATACGCAAAACGGCATGTATTTACTAATTTACCCTACTCTTTGGGCAATTTCCCAATTTTTGATTGAACAAATTTGGCACAGATCCTATTAATAAATTAGAAAGTTTTTTTAAAACTTCTAACGATGATTTCTTAATAACTAGTTGACCAAATTCATTAAATTTTTTTATTTTAATTCTATAGTTTTGTAGAATTAAATAAAAAAAAAGGTTATTGAATTTGGTTTAGCAGTTATCAAGAAATAATTGCTAAAAGTTAAAAAAAAAAAACTTTAAATACATTAACCATAGCTGCCGCAACAAATTTGGATCAGCAGATCCTCGATTTTGATTGGCTAATGGCCGAGGATCTTCGAAATTTTGGCCCACATT